GTAGTGCTATAGTACCGCCGCGTCCTATCTCACAGAAACCACCCGCAAACTCGGAAAACCATTGTTTGGTTAAACGGCAATCTCTAAAATTTTAAATGCCCAAATGACTAACCAGTTTCGAAGGACTTAAGTAAATGGAGCGGTGAAACGGAATTCGATGGAGAACGTTCACTCAATTTGTATGGAATTTCAAGTTTACATCATGATGCAGTGGTTGAATTCTTCACGACTACCTCTTCTTTTAAGGACGAAGGTTATAAACTAAAAGCTATGAAACACTTCAAGCAGAAATTTATCAAAATCGCGAATATGTAAAGGTATCAACACACTAGCAGAGCTTATTGTAATCGTCATTCGGTTTGAAAGAACCTATTTTACTCTGAAAACACTTATTTGAAGCCTTCGTGGGCCTTGAATTTCAGGTATTCAGGTGTGTAAAATAATGTACCTGGTGCCAAAGTGGTTACTCAAAGGAAAGTACCCTGGAGAAGTTTTGTTTTAACCACGGCAGTGTGTAACCCCGTCATCTTGACTAATGTGTAGTATTCCAAAATATAGAGCACCCGGATGAATGTGTTCTTATATTCTTGCACACCGAGTGAGTATCGCATCAGAAAGCCAATGCATGGCTTCTCTACTTGTCTGCCTTGCTTAGCCATGGGTAGTTAGTAAATGAAAACTAAGCAACTAAGCAGACAGTGTGACAAAATCATGCCGGTCTCTGATGATCACAACAGTAGTGACCACTGAAATCCAGTTGTGCGTACAAAAGTTTCCTTGTAAGACAGGGAAATTCGTCTGCTAAAGGGAAGTACTCATTTATTGTTGATCAGCTCATCAGTTGATCTGTTTGCTCGGCTTGAAATTTGGTTTGCAGGCGTTTCGTTGCTATGTGAGGATACACCGGTGGTGAAAGTTTGGATGGGTAATTCATTCTAATTTGTTTGTGTTTATGTAGTCCCCAAAGGGTATTAAAAACTCATTTAATCAGTCCATTTCCAGTGTAGAGAACGTTTTGGAAAACGTAGTCTCCTGGCCTTTCTGGTTTGGGTTTGAGAAAATGCTCCAGGTCTCTAATCGAGGTCTCCAGTCGTCTGCATGTCTAGGTTTCGGTTTCCCGGCGGTATCTCAATCCCCATTCAATCACAAACCATTCAATCACAAATCCGGTCATCCGATATTTTGACATGGCTTTTTCATCTTCAAGTCGCATAATGTTCTGAGGTTCTCAGCACCTTGTGTTTCTCTTAAACATCAAAATAAATGACTTGAGTTTGTTTACCGGCTCACCTATGTTGATAGTCACATGAACCGTGTTGATACCATTTCATACGAAGTTCATCAAAGATATCCAACTTGCTCCATTCATCAGACCCGAAACCGCCGTGTGTGAAGGTTAAGTGGGACAGAAATCTCAACCTAGAGTTGTTGGAATTGGTTTCTTTGACACAAGGACCTCAGATGTCCTCAAGCTTGATTATTGGTCCGTAGCACGGCAAAAGTTAACTGGCTGCAGCCAGTACGTTTTGGGTACATAGTGAGAAACAGCACCAGTGGGCTACAATCTCCAGGTTGAGGCGGCTGTGGCACGTTGCAGTTATGTTCAGTAAACGTCTGACGAGAAAGTGATCATTTTTCGTTCCAAGCAAACCTTTCAAGTGTGACATGGCAACGCTAAATCAAAGTGGCTACTATCGAACCGAGCGCTGTGTGCTCTTTGCGCCTTCTTTGCCCAGGCCCTTGTGATCTTGCTGGCACATAACTGATATCTCTGTAGGCGTACCACGCATATTGTCATTTCCTAGGTGTGTTACCTAGCTAAATTACTGTTGTTGTTGTTTTGTCTGATGAGGGTTGCAGAGAGCGCTGGGATCATCCCACTGATGACACCCTAATTGGACATCATTCGCAGATATGTTTACGTTTATCCCATCGTTGTATGGCAGGTATGAGTTGGTATGTATTTCTGGCATATTGCTTTTATTGATAGTAATAATGGCCTGCCTTCCGTGGCTTTTTATTCTGGCCAGTTTTGCTGAGCACTTGCGCTGACACATTTGACCGGTGACTGGAATGGCAAAACCCCTATCTAACTTGTAATATGTTGATCTGAATTTCGGTTGTAACTGGAGTGCCATTTTCAGATGAGAGATATCGATCAAGACTTCTGGATTCCTCATTACAAAAGTAAGATTCTAGTGAAAGTTTCAGACTTAATTGTTAGACACTCGCACTAATGAATTACTCCTTGGATTCTTGTAGTAGATTATGGAGGGATAGCAAGATTCTACGAAAACTGGTTGCCTGCATGCATCATATCAGAATGTTCTCTGGAATCCAGCTCATCTGTTCACATTAATGGTCCACTTTCACGTGTAATCTCTTCAATTTTATGCTGTCCACTTCAGTCTTATCGCAGCTACGTAAAAACGATCAGTTAGGCGGGCTAACGTCAGCTCGCGAATCTCACCTGATGGTGATTTGGGCAAAGATGACTATGATAAATATGCAATGATCCATAAAAGGTAGTCATTCAGACCTGCTCTACAAGGTTTCAGTAAATCCCACTGCATGTATACTTCGTTTCATGGGATGTATCCCGGTATTCGGCTAACAACCATCTCAATTCCTTTCATCATATTAATGGCATCACCATCATTCATGTTCAAAGCATTTGTTCTAAATTATGGCTCTACTACCACCATGTTCAGGTGACGACAGCCGCGTGATGCGCAGTTTGTATAGGCTACTTCAGTAAATTATGCAAAGACTAGATCCAACAACATTTTCTTGGATAAATCAGCAGGGATAATGGTAATAGACGGGGAATATAAACGTGCCTTATGAGGTTGTGATATTTAGGACCAGAAGGAGGGATACTATTTACTATCATTCTGTGTTGCTGATATTTCAAATCCTGAAGAACATTCTTATCGTTAGGTGGTCGAACTTTCCCGGGTGTGCGCCTAAAATTATCATATTTAGTGTATGCACAGGTTCTCATATCGGGACCGTTTTACTTTAACAAAGGTTTTTAACTCAGAGGACAACTCGTCAAAATATAAAGAACAATCATTGGAACGTGTTGGATTTCAACACATTTCTGACTACACTCTTGTCATAGCTTTCTACAGGCGTGGTTACAGTATAGCAATGGGAACCTACCAACCTCGGCTTGTTGATCAGGCAAAAATGAATATATACCGTCTAGGTTCTTGCTTATTCTGTTCCCGCCTGCGGAGAATGTGATGGGTGTTTAGTTAATCTGTTTAGTGGACTCGAAAGATGCAGAACGGTAGCCCCCGGTGATTGGCACAATCAGCTAACAGATATTGTTTCTGCGCGATGCCGGCAAAAGAATATAAGTTCATAATGCGACACACCTGGTTCACTCAAATTCTAGTCTGTATCAACTTTGTAGCTGCACGATGCTGTGCATAATAAGTGAATCTGTCCTATGGATAATTTCCACTAATGCAGCTTTGTGTTATTTATTCTGTATAAACGTGCGCATGTGTCAGAACAGAGCAAAAGTTTACAGTTATTGAAAACAATTTTATTGCTTCCTTCCTTCGGCAACCATGCGACACCGTGGTAAGACAATGTCCTATTAAAAGCGGCCTAGCCGTTACGATCATGTTTTGAACTAAAAGCTGGTGGTATTCAATTATTCTTAAGGGGATGAACGGCATTCATCAAAACTCTCTATAAGCCCTAACGTGGATGAGGGGTTATAGAAATAATACTGGAGGAAGCAATGAAAGAAATATCAGTTTATTAGAACTTCTCAGTCATGGAAGGCATTTTAGAGCTACACTCCTAAAACCTATGAACTAGGGGAACGGAATGTTTGAGGATTGAGTCTTGATGACGATGACAGCATGAACAGTGGTAAGCCACCTCTGCTTTACGTTTACTTTGAGTACAGACATCCAAAACGATGCTCTAAGTATCAGAGTGTGGCATGAAAAGCTAGGATCAACTGTCTTACTACTCGCTTTCGGTCAGACAAGTCAATCCTTTCGATCAGGTGTGAATAATTTCGCCTGCACAAAGGTGATACTTCATGAGGACCCATGGAATAGCTGTGATATGCGCGTGTCGCATGTCAAACGTCCGGATAATAAAACCTAGAACACACCTATAACCTCTAATATGAGCAAGCCTCGAAGCAATGGCTTCGGTCCTTGCTGTGGACTCACCAGGATAATTTCCACAAAACATAAAAAGGACTGTGCAGACGAGAATAATATGAGCGTTAATACTCGTTAGTAGTCAAAGTCTTGACGAACTGTAACGCAAGCGACCGTCCGAACTGAAAGTAATAGGAAACCATCCACTCTTTGGACTGCCTGAAAATACTGAAATACTTAGACACAACTTTCATGGAACGACCGGAGATTTTCGTAGATTTTGGTCGTTCAAATTTGCTGGTTGACATACTGGTCTCGGTTTCACTGCAGTACACCCGCTCAAGCTGTTTAGTATGTACATGTAAATCACCTCCCGTCACACTGGTTGATGAATAGTGTTTCTGTCTGTTCAAAGCTCGAAACATAAGGTTGTACCTTCTAATAGGTTAACGCAGGCACCTCACTATAAAATTTTTGTTATTGCCTACATCGAATGAACCTATTTACCTTTAAACGCGATCATTCTTGTGGAAGTGGCCCACAAAATAGGCATACAAACCAAATTACGGATAGACATCTCATCCCTATATTTGATCATGAAGCCACTGGTGATACACGTTTCAGAAAAAGGATTTGTTTCATTTTTAAATATATCAGCTCCTTCTTATCAAAATTGTGGGAAAAGGAATCGGTATGCTTCAACTGACAGGTATCTATTGCAGCACTCACTATGCTTTAACTGGATTTGTTACTCAGTACAGATGTGGTAATGAAAAAATGGAACAGCTCAAAGACCGTCTGCGTGTCCACTTGTGAAGGAATGGATGGACTCAGTTTGTAGACAGCGCAGCATAAACCCCTCATGGGCTAGTGAGAGTTCTGATGTCCGGATTGATGTCTTGACCGTTCAGCATACATGTAAACTGGACCGTCATCGCTGATGACTGGGCCACCCACAGTATTTGGTGTCAAGTGAATTAGATGGGACTTTTTAGCCGAGAGAATCGGGTCACCATTGGGAGGTGTGGTGCTGTTTCTGTTGCGTACCGTTACCCGATGTGGTGATGAAGTCGATTCTTCCCAAACAAAAGTGTTGGGTGATTTATTTACAAGTCCCACTGGAATTGATGTTTCCGTGACGTAGGCTGCCTCGTTCTGACGACCGAGAAAGTCAAGTCTTTCTGCACTGGAATGGTTGAAAATTACTCGTCTTGGCCTGTCGTCGTACACGACTGACACGTTTGGTTGTGATTTCGTTCTCCAATTACCATTGATATGGTAAGAATATCTGTTTGGAGGAGGTGTTTTACTCGTTACTGGGGGGCTGCGAAGCACCACCGGCTGAACCAGTTGCTGGTCCATGTGATTCTCGGTTTTCACAGGTTGTAGAGGACTGATATACACGGGCTCTAAAGTGACCAGCTTTTTGACTACAGGTGTGGATACCGCCTGCGAAGCCGTCCAGCCGTTCCGCACATCTGACATTAGCATTTCCGTTCTTGGCTTCTGATACACTTCTTGGTACTGCTTCTGATGTGGCCCAATGACACTTTTTCTGTATAATCTGACCAGCTGAGTGTTATCAGGTGTAAGGTCACGTGGCTTCGTCGTTTGTACTTCAGGATACAAAGGAGCCGTGCCTGGAATCGAATATAAAGGACCCTTTTCGTTTGAACGATGAACAACCTCATCAGGTGGCAAAACTGCGGGGTTCTTCACAAATGAATATGGGAAGGTTTGTAAACGTTGCGGCGCAGATAGTAGTACCTCTTCACCAGTCGTCCCTGCTTTCTGAGGTCCCGCATATTGTTTTGAAACCGTTTGAAGCGTTTGGGGTTGAGGTTGTGGCACCTCGACAAAAGACCATTGGCTTCCCGGATTATTCCTACCAGTGGGTTGAGCTTGAACTAGTCGCACCAGCTCAACAGGATCGAGTCTGGACTGCCGACCCTTGGTCTGGATTATATGGGGTTCTCTATGAAATATGGGTACCTTTTCATTACAAAATTTATCCTTTCGCTGTATCCTCGGCCTTTTTCCAATCAAAAAAATCGGTTCGGATGACATTTGGGATTGTGGTCTTGACATAGAAACTGACCTAGTGTAGACCGGTTGTTCGTTACCAGGCGATCTCCTTCTGTGTACTGCTGATTGGTAAAAACCCGAGTTTCTTGACTGCATCATTGGCTGCTTCGTACCTTCGACGACCACCTCTTTAACTACTTTATGTGGGATAGACAACTCACGTCCTGATCTATACCGATCATCTGAGTGGGAGCGAGGGGAACGGGAACCAACACTGACTTGTCGCATATATCCGGATGGAACGTTGTTAGCTGGCGGCGAAGATGATCTCCGACTCCTTATCGGCAGCGACGGACTGGTCGGCACTCTGTCAGATCCGCGCAGGTGTTGCTGCTTATTCATCATCGCGGCGCTAATAAGTGCGTGGATTTCCAACAGTTCCGTTTGGTCACGGCATTGATAACTCTCAAATGTATGCATATCCACTTCGGTATTAATCACGTAAATCATAAAAACGCCTGGTTTTTCTTCACACTTGAAAAATTGATTAATGTCGCGATAAAATAGCTCGAACCGCAAACCTTCCGGGTTGAATTGGATACGGTCTTGATAGAAAGTTGCTACTGTCTGGATCGGCATCCTATCCAAATGTTGCCTAAGAAACTGTTGTGCCATATCCTTGGTGAATGCACTTTTCTGATCTATCACAGATTTCCCTAGATGGGAAATAACAAATGTTCGTCGGCCAGTCAGCATGGTGATCTAGTGAATGATATTTCAATTCACATAAGTGGAAGTGATCTAGAAGTGATTTAAACGGCGGCAACCTTAAAGGTGCCAAATGTACTCTAGCCTGATGATCGTCAGCCAATCAGACCGATGTATGCGAACTCAGTGTGTCTGAATGTCTGCTATTCGACGAGTGAATATTCCACGATGCCAAGCAAACAACCTGCTCTGAATAAAGCAGAAATGATGACAAACGCCACCTGCAGCTAAGAACGCTCAGACACGGTTGGTGAGGTAGAAAATTAGCCATACCTCGAGGTTTCGTTATCATTTCTAAAGAAAGTAAACCGATATTACAAGAGTCAGGCAAACGTTCTGGCAGTGATGGCACCCGATTGGTAATTCTTAAGTGTCTTTTCCAAATAACTGGGACCGGTTAACTTCAGAAATGCATAGCTCAGTCTCCATGCAGGACTCGTCTCATAAAATAGAAGGTTGCAGCTGAATGCGTTATGCTTATTAAGTGGAAGCTGAGCAACTCTAAGCAGTAGTGTTGCAAGCAAATGGGTAAATGCCCTCAGACGAATGAGAGATCTTGGCTTTAGTGACGATGGCAAATGTGTCTGGATGACTAGTCTTTGGAGAACAAGAGAAAATGAAATTCGTGAAGAGAATTAGTGAGTTTACGCGCGAATGACGAAAAAATAAATTTCTAAAGCCTTCAAATCCACGTCACTTTTTGGAACCCTCCTCGATCTGTCCTGGCGCAACTGTTGTTGTGAGCCCCCAACAAACGCGAGGAGAACTGTTTTCGCGTTTCGCTCTTCATAGGATTCATATACCTGACCCTGCTGGTGTTTGAATTCTGGACAACTAACGTATGAATCGAGCGTGTTTTCGCTAATCTACTCGCAAAACCTTGACTCGTCTTGATTCGCACATCTGAACGGGTGAACGTGTGTACGCTGGGGCGATTGGCAAATTTTTTGCGCTGCGCGTGGATATCAGAACAAGCCCAGACTAAAACCCGTAAGTGCTATTGCGGTGTGAATCTGAAACACTGCCTGTCATCTGCAGTCATTCCAGTCGATCGAACTGAACATTAGGTCTCATTCACGCTTGTCTCAGCAGTTTGTTGCATACGGTACAGAAGAACCCTGGTGTTATAACTGCTTGGCATGTGTGTAGCATATAAATCGATAAAAAAAACATTCTGTATGTTGACTTGACATTTGTTTTAGTCCATTCTGCGTGTTGAAAAAACATCGGTATTGGTTGTGATGAGAAGATATCTGATAATTCTCAACTGAGAATTTGTTCTGTTAGTGAAGTTAATCTACGCTAGAAAACATTGTACAAATGGTTAATCCTGATTTGTGCTCATTGTCAGTATATTTCTCGCAAAACCCCAGTAGGGAGTTTCGAACCCTTGATTTCCGGCATAGACAAAGTATAGTACCACTGGAAGATTGGCTTCACTTAAGGCCAAAATCTCATTTAAGTTTTACCATGTATACCCATAATGCCAGCGGTCCATAATTAGCTCAAAGGAAGAATAATTTTACAAAATGTGTGTCCACTCGTGGCCGATGGATAAACATTCAAACTATTATCCGGAAATCCACGGGTTCAAAATTCCCTACTGAAGTTTCGTGAGGTGCGCACTGCTGATGATTCTCAAAACTGCTTAACAGGCAGTAAATTTGATGGAATTTCTTTAAAACCATTCTGTTTAATCTTCCACATCGTCAGATGCGCAAACAAAACCAAATAAGCCTTTCAAGGGGGAGTTAATTTTCCATAAACCGAATAACACGCCGTTCAGTAGACAGCACAGTAGCAGCACTTGAATAGGACCTAGTTCAGAAGCCATTTCAAGATATTTCTTATCGACCTCACACAGATTTTTCGCAATTTCAGCAACCTGCCACAAACGCTCACCGGTATGTCAACCAGTTTATTGATAGTATGGGAACGTTTAGATATATCAATCGGTATTTTATCCCGCCGTTGAGGCGAGTCTGCTTTGAAAATCACGAAGATAATGTAAAACAATTTTGTTCATGTTGGCATTCGTCAGCGCTACGCATCTTCCATCCATCTGAGAAGTAATCACTTGAGAAGCCAGTCTGTCAGAAGGCACTTGAAGTGAATGGCGAATTGTGATGTGTCCCGCCTAACTGCCCTGCTGCACACCTGATGTGGTCAATCCGTTTAATCCTTACACACCATCTAGGAGGTCGTAGTTACTCTAGAGATTCGTTAGATGCCCACATTGCGAATAACTCACAGTAAGTTTGATACAGTTACGTAGGATTCCTCAGTTCTGCCTTCTGTATCAACGTTGCTCACAGGACAATATCTCTAGTGATGGCTTCCAGTCTTACGAAACAAAAAATATGCGGTCAAATCACCTTTCTAGGAAGGTGACTCGGTAGTTGATTGTGCGGTCGGTAAAATACGTTCTTGTTTCCCCTGGATAGGTCGCCGTTATCTATTTAAGACCATATTGGTCAATACCCGTAAACCATCTTTGGCAGATCGTTGTATTGGAATTATTATGTTGAAACTTTGTGGTCAGAAGTTTAAAGCAAAATTACTGGAGAAACTAATTCATTTCCTGATTTTATGAGTCAAATCATCCAATAGACTCTTGGCTCCCGTTAAGTGCACTTGGCGGAATGTGCATTTTGTACCAATTCTCTCAGATCTCAAAATCTTCACCATTTCCCTCCACTGGTGAAACATTAGTCTTCTCGCAAATAAAGGTTGAGATAGGTTTCTACAATCTTTCGGGGAGAAGTTTTGAGGCTGCCTAGTGAATTGACATGAAAGCACAAGCGCCAAGTATTACTACTGAATCAGTGAATGAAACCCCAGATATTTTGTTGGCTCCCCAATGTTCGAGAGGATGCTGCGGCCTTTGGAAAATCCCTGAGAATTCGGTGAATGGTCTCTCTTGTAACCCCTAAGTTTCCTTGGAAGTGAGTCCTATTCATTGTATTATTCTACGCCCAAAGGCTTTATGCATCGTAGTCCAATCAAGCAATTAACTCTGACTCATTTGCATGTCGAGCGACCAGGATATTGATCCTGAAGAGCCTCTGTCCTCTCATTCGACGGAATGTCGTTTCCAACACGCGACAGAGTAACGTTAAAATCGTGGTTCCCTGTTATGTTTGGGCACAAAAACTTCTAATGTCCACCAATTTGGGTACCCGTAATTCTTCAAGTTCTTCACTCATAGATTTACACCCACATTCTTACTTCGGTGTAGTGTATGTGAGTATTTTCCATCTCACTACTTGGGAGTCATCTGACCCGGAAACCTTTTTTTAAAATTCGGTTATACTCATTCAAGAGCAAGACAATTTCGAGTGAGCACCACGTCTCCGTCGCATTGTTGTGTCACATGGTAACTGGTTATCGATTTCCAGCTCATGGATCTGAACCGGTTTTAGTGAGTCGGATTTTCACTAGAATCCACGAAATAAAGGCATCATAAAATAGTTCAATACTGTTTCGTAAATTTTGGCACTGACGGGCGGACTCAATTGTTCACCTTAGAAATGACTCTCTTGAGTTATCAGTTATTATCCGAACCGGTCACGGTCAGGGAGTTGTCATTTGAGTGTTAGTTGCGATACTCTTCCAATCCATACTGGTATATCTTTGGGTGACTGAATGGCTGACAACTGTAAATTCCATAAGCCGCAACACAACTACTGTCTTTCTCTGAGAGCGAATGCCAGTTACAAGTGCCATGATGAGTTGAACAACGATCAGTTAATCGCGAAATATTTTTCCAGGAATGAGTTATCTTCAATTATGTGATACGGTGTGGTACAAAATCTCTTATGTAGAAGAAAATCTATATTTTGTCTGGTGTATGAGTGTCATGAGGATACCAGGATTGCATAGAAACGTTTTAAGTCGATCATTCAAGACCAGTATTACCGTGGTGTACCGCTGAGCGCATGACCAGGGTATTTCCGTTGTGTATTGAGCATACTCAGTGTTAACTTTATTGGTCTATCTGGACGAGTTCCTAGAGCTCTGTAGATCTCCATTCAAATGTCTGAAGCAGATACCTGTAGCATATAACAATTCGGTACGATAATCATCCCTCGAAGACCTGTACGCATTACAAGTGAATTTTCTCCTCTAGAAGGAAAAACCTTTTGTGATCGATTAAATCTTTTAACCTCTTGGAATTGCTCTTCGATATGAGCTGTTGGTTGTGCACTAATCATAACGTTGGCCACCCACAGACTGCAAGCAACGAGTGACCCAGTAACATAAGGAACAGCAGTAATAGTAAGAATAATGGAAAGGATGGGGCGGGAAAGAGCTCTCGGTGTATGGAGTTGTTTTTTCACGAACATTATCTAAATGGGTGTAGGCTATTAGATGCAAAATCATAAACATTGTTTGCACAGAACTTTTCAAAAGTGAACGTCCTCAAGCGTCCTTTTGAACTTTTTCGGACTTCGTTTGAATACTGAACAGTAATGAACAAACACACAAGGCGTTTCAGTAATTTCCATATCCGCCTTTCTTCATGTGCAGAGAGGGATAGTTAACAGTTGGCGAAACAATACTAACTTATTTCATCAACAACATAGACTGTTTTACACCTCCCTCTTGAAGTGTTCTCATGCACGAGATCGACAATCGGGTTTGCCTCAGATAGTAAAGCCTCGGCAGCTGGTTTAGTTGTTGCATTGTCGGGTACATTCCGAGACTTTCGGTGCTCGTTCTCGTCTACATGTCTTGACGACGAACGGACCTTACCACTGATTGCCCTACTTCCTCGATTCCAGTTCGCTCATTCCAGGATTCTGGTTACCTTTCCATTTGACCTCCGCGCCCATGCAGAATAATCTTGTCGTGCTACATGTTGCTTTCTGTTTAGTCTGGTCCTGAACGGGTGTCAGTTTTTCTTG